AAACTATATGATAATTTAATAATACAGGTAAGCGTAAGGTAAGTAATGTAAGTAAACGTAAGATAAGCGAATCGTGTGAAAACTAATATTAATAATGATGATTTTTTCAATTCAATTTTTTATATTTCAATTTGTTTTGTTTGTTGTTGATGATGATGATTATGACATTTGTGAATATGTGTAGCATATATTTGTGCACCTAAATTATCATTTTTTTTGTTGTGATTTAAATGAGATCAAGTACATCGATCAATGATGATGATGAGGATGATGATGAGAAAAAATAAGGATTCCCATTCAAAAAACAATCAAATCGAAATTCAATAAAAATCAAGGTTTCATTTATATTTTGACCATCAGAATCATCATGTAATAATGATAACAAACAAACAACAACAACAACAATCCATCAATAACGATTAGATGTTTTTTTTGCTTTTCGTTTTGTAATTTTTTTTTATTAGCAAGAAAAAAAATTGGCCTCATTCATATTCATGGACATTTTGATTTTTCCACTTTCCAATTTTATGCGGAATGTGTATGTGTGTGTTTGGCCCATACATAAATTTCGCTAATCCAATGTCAGAAAAAAAATGCTTTTAGGCAAGCATCAATTTTTTGCTTCAAAGCCAAATTTAAGCGGACAAAAAATTTTTTTAAAGCGATGTGTGATTTATTTGATAATTTCAGTAGAAGAAAGGGAAAACAAACATATCATTCCTTTTTTGTGGTGGGGGGATCATTATCATCATCGGATGGGTGTGTAGGTCACAAGTTTGAACATTTGACCTGGCCACCAAAAAAGGAGAAAATCATTATCATCATTGATTTCTGCTCCAATTTTCAAATCAATTCAATCGATATGATCAAAGTTGGCCTTTTTTTTCTGTGAAAGTTTCACTTTAGAAAAAAAGCAGAAAAATAGATTAATCCGATGCAAAAATCACAAATCAAAAATGGCAGAAAAATTAATTGATTCAAAATGATCAATTTTCAAATCATTTTGTTGAATCAAAAATCAAAAATCAAACAAAAAAAATGATACAAATATGGATTGGATGCCTTCATTCATTCGGGTTCAACAGCGAAAAGATTTCCGCCTTTGATTATCATCATCATCATCATCGTTGTTGATGAAAAAAAAGGTTCTTCAATGAAACAACTGAATGAATGAATGGCAGGCGAAACAAACATCACGAATTTGAACATGATGTTTTTTTGAATTGAACAACAATTAGAACCGGCGTTTATTCAAATCACTTCAAATGTTGATGATGCCCAAGCCTTTTTTTATACATATTTTTCCTATTACGGTGATATTTTTTTGAACAGGCAAAGTGTTTTTGGATCAACTTTTCAACAACAAAAAGATGTAAATGTTGATTGGATGGGAATGTAGATCATTCCAAAAAAACTTTTACTTTTTTTCTCCATCACAATCACCAAAATGATCAACAACAAAAAAATTGGCAATTTTTTTTTTGTTTTGAAAAATCAAGACAAAAAATATCGATCAAACAAGCTTTCTATATTTGGTCAAATTTTTTTTCTTCTTCTTTTTTGAAATGTTCATAAATTTTGTCTACATTCTTTTCTTCTTGTTTTGGCTATTTCTAGCCTCGATGATCATCATCATAGTCAGGGAATTCAATTAACATTATTTGAACATCATCAATAAGAAATGTTGGGCGCCATGTTTACCTAGATCAAACACCAACAACAACAAACAAGGTCAAGATGAATGAATGAAGTAATAAATTATCAATTCATTCATAACCACCAGTACCGGACAATTGAAAATAGAAATACCGATTGATTTTTCATTTAGTTTTCAATCTTTCCTTCGATACAGGTTGGTTGGTTGATGTGCCCGGCGCTATTTCTACCTCTGTCTCTCTCTTCTTTTTCTCATCATATTGACCTCATTCTTTGTTTGCCAAAATCGACTTGAAAGGTCGATATATCAAAAGATTTATTCGTGATGATGATGATGATTTTCGTTAAAAAAAACAGCAGAAAAAAACTTGATCGTTCGAAATTGATTTCAATTTTGTCAATATGAAGAAGAACTTTTTGCTACTTCGAAATTGGTCGGTTGGTTGGTTGGTTCAATTAGCGCCTTTTTTTCTTACGAAGACGATCGATATTAGTGAGTAAGTGATCTATATGGATGATGATTTGGTTTCGGGTCACCAAACCCAAACAAAACAAAACACAAGACAATTTCGATGATGATGATGATGATAATGGTGACAACAGAAGAAGAAAAAAAACGAGGAAGTAATGAATAAAAATTCATTTTTTTTCAATTTGCTTCTCTGCAACAAAAATCATCTTCACATTAATATTCGAAACGACAATTTTTTTCTTCAAAATTTAATCAAAAAAAGAAGAAAATTTCCATACCGATTTCCCCGACGAATATATATCGACATTTGATGGCAGAGGATAATCTCTTCCAAAACGTTGATTTGATTTGAATTTAGTCAGTCAGATGAAAAATTTTGTTCAGATAAAAATTCATAATCAAAGTGAGATAATAATAATTTTCAGCGAATTTGTTTTTTTTTTGTTGCTTGCACAGTCGAATGATTTTCTCGGTCAAATCGAACGATGAACGAACAAATTTCATTCAATCAAGTGTCGTCATCATCATTAATAATAATAAAAAAATTGTCAACGATTTTTTTAGACAGAAGACCATCGGTCATCGGATAAACATTTGAAATCGAAAATCATAAAAAAACGAAACGAAAATCGCTTCTTTTCGTTTTCTTCTTCAAACGAAAACACACATTTTTTTTATTGAATCAAAAAAAAATTGAAATTAATGATACTTGTTTTTTTGGACAACTTGTTGACCGGCTTCAAGACCGGTATCATAATCATCATCATCGATAAATAAAATTGAAGAAAAAATAAAAAACCGTTCGAAATTTCGAATGTTTTTTTTCTGCTTCTTTTCTTTTTCAAATCGTTCGAAAACTATTTCAACAAAATGATGATTATAATGATAAAATAGAATCGAATCCTTCACTTCTCTTCTCTCTTTGGCTATTTATAGAACTTCATCATATTTGTTCAAACACAACGATATAATAATAAACATTCGAAATGTTTATTTTTTTTTCAATAAAATATTTACTTTTTCTTTTTTTTTGTTGTTTGTTTGTGAAAAATAAACGAAAAAAAATTTTGAACAAACATCAGGTAAGTAGCATTTTTAGCATCATCATTATCGTTGCTTTTTTTTGTTGTTGTTATCCAGGATTAGGTCAACATTATTATTATGATTGTTGTTGTTTTTCTGTGCAAAGGGGCTAGTGAAAGGATATCTTTTTCCTTTCGGACATTGTTCATTCATAATCATCATAATCATCATCATAAACAGGACAAAGATCATTACCGGTTGGCCGGTTTTGCTGGCTGCTGTTTCAACTGACCTAATGCATTATGTTTTTCCATTAGGAAAATATTCAAAGCTGAACACGATAATTATTTTTTTTTCTGTATGTGAATTACCAAACAAACAAACAAGCAGCATACCACCCCACCACCACCACTCCTGTTTTTTCCTTCAATTCTTTTCGGGTGAAAATAGTCCTCGACGAAAAACGACATCATCAAGTCTCATCTTTGAATATTGAAAGAGAATTCAATAATAAAAAAAAATCCACGCAATCAATGAATGAATGGATCGATAGCCTTGATCTTAATTTGAATATCATCATCATCACACTGCAAAGTGGATCACAAAAAAAAATTTCATTCAATGAAATAATGACAAAATCTTGAACTTGTCATCATCATATTCATTCATTCATCAAAAGTATTGCGCATTTTTACTTGTGGTGAAAGAAGAAAAAAATTTATTTTTAATGATTATTAATGATTTCGAAATTCTCTATGTTTGAAAATGATGATCAAGGATTTTTTTTATATCGATAAACTTTGGAATTATTATTTTTTGTAACGGGGTTTTCTATTACGACGGCCACTACCACCACCAGTTGGTAATCGACTTGTTGAATATCGATTCATTGATGATTGACGATATGATGATGATGATGGTGGTGGTGATCTTCTAGATGATTTCTGACGATATGATGATCTTCTCATAGAATTTGGTCTATCCATACTACTATTACTACTACTGTTTGCTAATGATGATGATGATTTTATTATTGATGATGATGGAGGTGACGATGATGGTGATGCTTGAAATCCCGAACCACCAGAACCATATCTTGATTTTAAATATGGATCAAATTTATTATATGTTGATGGACTTGTTTTCAACATTGTTGATGTAATTTTATACCATATTAATCTATTGGCTGATGATGTTGAATTATTTCCATTATTTTGTCGTTTATAAACGGCAAAATAATAAATCAAAAATGATACTAATAATATTATTGAAAAAAACCCAATAACCAATATGATCATTATTTCTATATTGAATTTTGGTTCATTTTCATCATCATGATATGGAAAATCATCTGATGGTTTTTCAGCTTGTTCTTGACAACAAAAAAATTTTAATGTATCAAGAATACGATAGGAAAAACTTTGATCAAATATTGTTAATATACGATTATCAATAGCAATGGTAAAATGTTCATTATATGAAATCAAATATAATGTAGTTGTTGTTATAAAACCATATTGAATTTGTGTAAATTTTTTATCATTATCATTATATTGTGAATGTTCAATAATATCATCATCATTTGGACATGATTGTTCTTCTAAACTTAAACGTTTCGATGTTGATAAAAGACAAATATTTCCTTTCAATATAAATGTTGTATGTTTTATAAGAAATAAACGAAAATAAAATTGATTATATTGTTTATCAATAATAATTATAAATGTATTTGATTGAGCATTTATCATTATTAAATTATAATCATCATCATTCATGGATGAATTTGTTGTTAAATATTTATTCATCATATTTGAAAGTGATTCAATATCATTGGTTATTGATGAATGACTTGAATATTCATATTGATTTGTACCATTATCGTTAATATTGGTCATGTTTTTGATAAAAACATCAAAACGAATATTTGTTGGATTGATTTCCTGACGTAATGCAATACCAAAATAATTATGCAGTAATGAATTGGTTTTTGGTAAGAAATTTATCAAATTTTCCAACTCAATATTCATATCGATAAATTTTGTATTAAGATTTTGAAGAAAAAATTTTCTACCCGTTGTTAGATTACAATAATTTCGATCATCATTTAAACGTTTTGATGATTGATCATAAATTGTAACCGAAAGATCCATATTAAATTGATAAATACGATTATCTATAATCGATATGGATATTGTATTGAATAATGTACGTACACCACAATCAATTATTTCATCATAATCATTACCGAACCAAGGTATCGATTCTATTGATAATGTTGTTAGATTTGATTGTACGGTTGTTGGTATTGTTGTTGTTGTTGTTGTTGTTGGTGGTGCTGAATTAATCATTTGAATATTATAATTAAAAATCAATATGATTAAAATGAAAATCATTCGATTGATCATTGTTTAATCCAATCGAATCGATCGATCAATCACATCAGAACTATAGAATGGTGAATTTATATTCGCTCGAAACAAAGCAAAAAACTTCCAAACAAAACAAACAATTCAAGCACAACAATCGCAAAGCAAGGAAAAAAAATTAAATTTTCTCCAAAAAAATTATGATGTAATTAAGAGTCCCCTTTTTTTGTTTTCATGGTTAAGGTTGATTGTGTTAAATGAAAACCACCATTGTTGTTAGGCTAAAATTAGCCATTTGTTTTTTGTTTGACAATTTTTTTTTTGGCAAAACATTCAAGGAATATAGCTAATGGATAACCGGATGATCATCAGGTTGTTGTTTATTTTTGTCATCATATAATGAATTAACCAAAGATGAAAAAGGAAAATCTTTTCGGTGGCTATTTAAACCCAAAAATAATTTCCATTGTTTTATGCAAAAAGAGAGAGATGCTTTTCTTTTTTGAATTAAAAAGAGAGATTACCCCCAAAATAATGATCAAGAACAATGATGATTTTCATGATCATTTTTCTCATTTAAGTTTGGTGAGAAATCCTTCGGCAATGACCATAATAATAATAATAATTTTCTCTTCTTTTTTGCCTATTTCAACCTAACTGTGTTGATCTATTAATAGAAATTTTCTTTTTTTTTCTTTCGTTTTTTCCCGTACACATAACGGGTCTTTCAATTCATATTTTTGTTTGTCGGACGATGGCTAATTTCTGAGAGCGAAAGAGAGATGCTCAGGTTTTTTTTCTTTGAACAAAATCAACCAACTGACCGACCGACTGAGCAACCGAAATGTATGTTATCATGAATTTGGCATCAAAAAAAACTGATCATAAAATGATGCTGACCAGACACAAGCATCAACATCGTCATCAAAAGTAGCAGCAAAATGAAATTAAATTAAATGAAAAGAATGTCAAAATGACATTTTATTCAACAAATGGTCACACGATGAAGAATGAAGAAGTAAAGAACAAAAAAAACAAAGATTTCAATCTTTCAACTGAACTGACCACATTACCAATCTTTGATGTGTGTGTGGTCATTCAGTGGTTGCCTGGTTGCTTAGATGTTTTCGTGCAACGATAATAAACATTAAGAAGGAATTAGGCGCCAATATGGTCATAATCATCAAAACGAAAATCTTGACTGAACGGATAAATCGTCAATTGCTTCAAATGATCATTCAATTAAACTAGACTTTTAAAACTAAAAAATTAAGGTGAACATTATCATCATCAACAACATTTCTGACATCGTATCGATCAATTCATTGGTGATGCCAAAAATAGAAAGTCAATTTCTTTCTCTCTCTCTCGCTCTTCTCTTCTCTTTTGTTCATGTCGGATGTTATTGTTGGAATTTTTTTTTTGATTTTTTTTACAAAAAAAGTTGAATTTTCACTGAATGAATAGCGGCGGCTGCGATATTCAATGCTGTTCAATGACATGTGAATTGAATTGAAAAGAATGAAAAAATGAACATCATACAGAAGTCAGCCAACCTGGATAAAAATAGCCGCCATTCAATTTTTTTTATAATAATCGATTTCGATTGTATCAATCATTTTCGTTGTTCAATTATCCAGTGACATCAATGGATCATTTTGTTTCACTGAAAAGAGTTTTTCATTTCGTTCAATATAATGGCTATCAGATTTCATCATTTATGGATGATTTATATATGGGCAAAATATGTTTTTCAAGAAAAACAAAAACAAAGAAAAAAAATTCATAAATGATGGGCGCGTTCGAAAAGTTTTTTTCCGACCGATTTTTTTTGTTGTTCGGGTTAAATTCCTATCAAAAGGTGTCGATTATCATATCGATGATGATAATGATAAAGATTGGCCATTGAAAATTCGAAAATAGAATGGCCCAAAACAATGAAAAAACCAATCCTGTGTTTTGGCCAAAGTTTCGTGTTTCATTACAAATAATCAATGGATTTTTTTTAACCCTGCATCAACAACAACGGCCAAAAAATATTTTCTCCAAAATCAAAATTGTGAATCAAAATGAATGAATGAATGAATCTTTTGATTATTAGATCGATGATTGATGATGATAGAATGGATGCACAATATGTACCGAAAAGTAGATCAAAATAATGATGATATGATTACATATTGCCATTATCATCATTAATATCATGATCAATGAAAATTCTGAAAGAAATTTGCCCGAAAGCAATCTTCCTGGTTTCTGAATTGGAAAAATTTATCGCTTCTGTTAGCGAAATTGTTGTTGTTGTTGTAGATCAAGATCATCATTATCCGATTATTAAAAATCTTATGGTTATTTATTGATCGATCAATCAACCAATATCAGTCAACCAAATGATCAAAACAAACAATGAACAAATAAATCACGCCTGATAATGATCATTATTGTTTTATCAGATCAAAAAAATACGCCATACAAGTTTTGATTATCAAAATAGATTTCATTTTACATCCGAATCAATCAATCAAATCAATAATGTTTGTTTTTTTTCGATCAGAGCCAAAAAACAAAACGTTAATTACTTCAGCGACCAGGTAAAACACATGCGAAATTTTTTTTTTTGGCAAAATCAACATCAGGTAAAAATGGGCACACACAAAAAAAAACTAATTCGATGAATAATGATTGGCTGGCTGTAACATCCATACAATGGAAGATCTGAACAAAAAACTTTCGAGCTTCTTGCTTGCTTGCTTTTTTTCAAACATCTTTTTTTTCAAAATTCAATTTTTTCAATTCAAAAAAGACGACAACAAAGGCTTAAAAGACATTATCATCATCAAGATCCGATTATAATGGTCATTATCATTCACAAATACAGTGATAACCCGGGTAAGAGAAAAATTGATTTTTTTTCTCTCTATCTTCTCACTCTTGACCACCATCGCAACTTTTAGAAAAAAAAATGTTACACTAAAAATAGCCACAAAACAAGAAAAAAGAAAAAAAAAAGTTAAACACGGTTGCTACAATGATGATGACCAACATATGGTTGACCATTCAGAAAAGAAAAAAAACATGAACATTATGATGATGATACATAATGATCATCATCATTTTTTGATCAATTTTATTGTTTGGTTGATGATGATGATTTATCTTCATCATCGACTGACTGACTGATGTTACCAACAACAACGAAAAAAACCAAACCACCATATCCATATCATTCAATGTTTTTTTCATTCATTCAAAAATGGATGATGGATGATCAAACGAACGAAGGTAAATCATCATCATTATCAAATCCATGCCGGTGTAAAACAAACATCACATGACTTGGATAATCATCCGGCCGCATCCATTTTTTTCTGAAAAAAAACAAAGTTTTTGCTTTGTTTTGTTAAGAACATTGAAGGGTGGTTTTTGATGTCTTTATGTTTATACTTATAAGGATGAATGCCTTGTTCTTTGTCAGGAATTTGTCATTTTTTCCCTCTGAAATGAAATGAAATGATTTTATTGACTAATTTAAATAAATTTTTAAAAGAAAAGAAACTTACAACCAAACTTTATGGACATGTTAATTATCATTCTTAAAAAGGTGTTTTTTTTCGCCAACTAATAATGATAATAACATCACATTTAACAAACGGGAAAAAAATTTATTCATTTTTTTCTCATGAAGGCAAAGCATGGAAAAGACCTTCCAAATAGAAGCATCGATGATCCGAAACCGAAAAAAATGTTTTTGTTAGTAAACAACAACAGGAAAAAAAACAAACAAAAACCTGTTGATGATGATCATAAATAACATCATCATCAAAACAAAACAAAAACAACAAATAAATTATCAAAAAACAAAACAAAACAAACATCGAAAAAATGTGTTTGTTTGTTTTGGATATATCCGTTATGTTGTGTTCGATTCGATGTTGGCCCCATTTTTTTTTTGCTCATTCGATACAATCGATTATTATGTCGTGCGACTAAAAGAATGGATCGTTCAATCATTCGAAATGATTGACAGGAATGATTATGATGATGGTTTACCCTATGTGATTAACTTATGGTTATTTTTTTCTTTAAAAAAAACGAAATACCTCGCCATACTTCTTCTACCATCATCATCATCATCATCATTATCATTATCATTGAACTTCGCATTTCATTTGTTCTTCATACGAAATCAGCCAGTATTTGTTTGATATTCATCAAATGATTGATGTGACACATACCTCTCTCTCATTGTGTAATGATAATGGAAAGAAAATTGTTTTTTTTTCATAACGAAAAAACCCCCTCCTGAACATTACATAATCGATTCATTTTTCATTTCAACCCTCCATTATCATTGTATACTTGAGGGGGGAATTTACCAATTTCGAATGTTTTTTTTTTTGAAAAATTTAGATCCACCCCATCATCATCTTATGTCATGAATATGATGATGATGATGATCTTTAACAAAGACATTTTTTTTCAATTATCAAGCCATTCAAACTCAACCAAAAAAAAAATTTCAATAAAAATGATAATTTTTCTTTCATTCTTTCTTTACAAATACAGCCGGCCAGAATGATTCAGTTGTTGTTGTTTTTCCGCCTAAACAAATGTCAAATATCAATCAAATCAAAAAACTGAGCAACATTTTTTTGCATTGTTCATCACCCTTGTTTTTCTGGCCAAAAATCGACCAATGTTAGTCGGTTTCAAAGAAATTCATTTCAAAAAATGATTAAAAAACAACAACAACAACATTCGTTATGTAAACTGACTGAAATTAT